CACCACGGGGGCATTTACAGAGAGAGAGGAGACGCTGCGGGGCTGACTCCTCTCCGGGTCTCTGGAAGGCTGCTGTGCATTCAGTCAGTCTCTGTAGGGTTTGGGTGTTTGCTGTTGGTGAAGAGAAACTATAAAATACAGGCAGTTGTGGGTTATTTGGTTGGTTTTGTGCCTTTTTTTTTTGCCTTGCGTTCATGTGCTTTCAACGTCACTCCTGTTTAGCTTGGTTGACTCAGGGTGGGAGGGGGGTGGGAAATGTAGAGCTCTGAAACTTGAGCAGACACACTGTGGGTGTCTGTCAGGGAGCACTGTGCTCAACAGCCAAACTCTTTAAAATTTTAAGTATTGAACCACTCTGGCTTTCGGGTTGCCTTTTGCACCATTGGTTGGTAATGAAAGGAGACAAGGTGGCTTCAGTTTCTGGCCCATGTGCATAAGTAAGAGTGGGCGAAGGCTGGGCTGCAAGTGCTGTAGAGAAATATTTATGAGAGAAATATTTATACAAAACTGTTTACACAGCATTTAAGTTAATGTTTTAGTAAGAGAGGGTTTTACAAGACAGCTGTTCTCCTGAGCCACACTGCCATGAGCCCTGTTTTTAATCTTCCCCTTTCTCACCAGTGGTAATGAAATCAAAACAACTTCCTGATTTATAGGAGAGCTACAACCTGCCCTGTGTAGTCATTTAGTAGCTGGATGCCTCTGCCATGGTGACAGGATGGCATATTTAGTACCAAAGGGATGCAGTAAGATTGTAAACTGCCACGGCAGGGAAGCACCTTCTTTTTCTGCAGGAGGAATAAAGTTCACACAACATTTCAAAGTCATTTGAGATGACACTGAAGAGAAGAGCTGCAGCAAAACCAGACAGGAACTGGAGGGGACAGAAACTGCCCAATAACCCAAGCAGAAAAACCCCTGAATGCTGGGAAAGGTTATTTGCACAAGCTGGGTGCTGGGCTGCACTTGGCAACCTGCTCCCCAACAGCCATGACCTGGTTTATTTTGAATATTTGCTTGCAGTTTTAGCTGCACGCTTGGCCTGACTCTCACAGTAGTGCCATACCACCATCTTTACTAACAAAAATCCAGTGCTGGCATGACCTATTTCCCTCTTTAATGTTGTTCTTGACACACTCTTGACCCGCTGAGCAGAAAGCGGAGGCCTGGACAACAGAGGGAGGTTTCCCTCCGAACAGCTCCACGCTGTCTGACAGCTTCAGTCCTTGGGGAGTGGAATCCCCACCGCTGTGTGTTTGCTCAGGTTCCTGGCCTCCTCCACCTGCAGGGGTGTGCAATAATCCTCCAGGAAGACGGTCGCCAGGTTGCTCAGCCTCCTGCTGGCCGAGAGGGAGAAGCGGAGCATGCACTCCACCACGGGGAGGGCCGTGGTCTGCTGGCGCGACCGCGGCGTGGTCAGGAACATCAGCGCCGTGACGGCCGACATCACCGTCTCCTCGTTGGGGCTGGACAGGCAGTTGATTATGGGCTCTACCCCGTTTGCCTCCAAGATGTAGTCTTTGTTCGTTTTATCCAGGCACAGGTTGCAAAGGCCACCTGAAATGGCAAGAGAAAACATCAGACATGTGCCAGACAAGCTCTTCCCTCCATGCTGTCATCTTTTTCATGCTAGGATTCAAATTCACTGCTGCTCCTTTTTTTTAATACAGAAAAAAAGAATTCAGATTTACTGTGAGTTTTGGATAGAAAATGCTTAATGGCTTCCTGGACAGTGTTTTATCCATTCTTCCCAGAGATTTTCCATGAGAACGTTCCTCCTCCTGCATGTCATTAGAGGGCACTGTTACTGCTGGACATAACCTCTTCCACAGAATGAAGAATTCCAGCACATCGTAACCCTGAGAGAAGCTGCAACCCAGCAGTTTATTGCAGGTGTTTTAGAAAACCAGAGAACAGAGCTAGCAGTACTAGCCAAGCAGCACAGAATGTTTCAACTTTAAGATGCAGCCATGTCCTAGTGTAGCTCAGCCACGAATCTTAAAAATCAAATATACTTACTATCATATGAAATCACTCACTGTTAAGATCTGACCCCTTAGCTTATGTTCAGACCATGATGAATCACTGCAAGACAGTTCTCTCTCTAGACTTAGTAAAAAATTCCAGGTCAGTAACCTAGACGATGGGTTGTCAATAGCTGAATGGTAACACTGGACCTGTACATTATATATGGCAAAATTTACTTATTAATGACTGCTTCTCTACAGGAGAGATTTTGTTAAAAAGTCATTCACCTAGGGTTCACTTACAGTCATAAATTTAAAATTCCTCTCCAGAAAGCATCTTCTTTAAACACAGCAGCTCTATTAGGATGAAGAGGAGATACCTGCCTCCCACCTCCCTTCCCATTCTACTCACTGTCCACTAAACGTCTTACCAGCGCAGGGGGTAAGATTAACCATCCAGCCCATGTGTCGGGCACGATGTCCCCAACCTGTCGGCCCCTTACGAGGGTGCTTGGGTGCAGTCCTTACCCATCGCAAACTCCACAAGGGTCTCGTTGTCTTCGGTGAGCATATCGAGGAACAGATCCAGGACCTGCAGCTGCCGGAGGTACTCGTAGTTGTTGGGATCGTAGGCAAAGTTGGCCAGATTCGCCAGGACCTGCTCCTTGGCCTCTGCAACAGAGAATCATAGAAGCGTTTTGGTTGGAGAGACCCTTAAAATCAAGTCTGTCACCACTGCCAGGTCCCCACTACCCCATGT